GGGGAAGCCCGGGCACGCGCGGCGCCGCAAACGAAGCCATTCGACCGAGATCCGATTCTATCGACTGAAAAGATAGCACGCCCATGACCGCGGTCAAACCGCTGACCTGTTGCTCCAACCCGGGTTCCTTCTGTAGCGCTCGATCTGTCGACCTCTGCAACGTTTCTTGATCTGCTTTGGCGACGGCTACTTCTCGTTTGACGGCGGCCAACTCTGCTCCATGATCTTCCAGCTTTGACATTTGCAGCTGGCGTCTTCGAATGAGTTATTCTGTTATTTCAAAGTGTTTATGCGCCATACCATCTGCCTGTTCTGCCATTTTCCTCGCTTCGCTCTTGTTGCGAGAGGTGTCTTCAAGTACGCTTAGTTGTTCTCCCTCTATCACAGGATCGTCTTGTTCCCTGGACTCCTCGCTTCCGGCGCATTCAGAACATCTCCTGGCCCCTTCGCCCAGGCGTTCTCTGCGCGCGGGTTGCCCACGCCCCGCGCAAACCCTGATTACAAGCTTTGAGCATACATAACACGGCTCATCTGGCGCGGCATTCCGAGGTCGGGTCGGCCCAGCCGCTCTCGCTCGGACGGGGCGAGCAACAATTGGGCTCGGAGGGTGCTCAACATTTGTCGGCTGCGCCGGCTTTGAATTTGCTCTCTCCCGCGATCCAGCACCTCCTGGCTGGGCCGGAGGTATCAATCTAACCGCCTGCGCTGCCACACTAGGCTGCCTTGTCATCTGAATCTTCCCCAGAGGCTCTCTCGCAGTCTTACATTGCTCTAAATCAGATTTGAGCCTTCTGTTTTCTTCGCTCGCGGCACGGATGGCGAGCGCGTCGTTCTTGATCTGCTCATCTGCACGCCCCTTCGCGCGGCTCCGGGCCTCTGCCATTCTTCTTTGGTCATCCTGCCTTATGACCTGGGCCTTCTGACCCTGCCCATGGAGCGCACGCGCCGCTTCTAGCTTTATCTGTTCGACCTCGAGCCTAGCAGCATCACGCTGGTCACGGAGCTCCTCGTCCCCTCGCGCTGCCTGCTCTCGGGCCACTCTCTCTCCTTCCCGTCTGGCTGCATGAGCTATTACTCGAGAGTCAAGACGCTCTTCATCGGCCTATAGTTGCGACGATAAGATCATGTGTTCGGCCGCCCCCTGAATCCTTCGCTTTTCCCCCTCTTCTTGCGCGAGACGCCACTGAGCCACGCCCACGACCCCTGCTACTTCTGCTTCCGCTTTTAACGTGCGTTTCTGGGCACCTTCTGCGATGGCAGCCTTTTCTTGCTCAGCTCTGCGCGCCATTGCCCTCTTTTCTCCTTCGGATTCAGCGAGCCGACGGCCAGCTTCTTCAACGGCTGCTTTGTCTACGCATGCCTGAAGAAGAAATTGTTGCATCTGCGCACTTGCTGCCCTCAGCTGCCCCCTGTCTTATCTTCGTTTCTCTCCCCACTCTCCGATGGCAAAGCAAAGACAGCTATGCTCTCCCAACGCAATGCATTCCTCACAGAGCCACGACAAACTGCACTTCGGACACACGCGGGAGCATTGGGCACACACGGGTCGGCCACAGGACCCCCCAGTTTGCGCGCTTTTCCCGGGCGACGACTCTCCGCCTGAGGCGGGCACCCAGGGCCCGCGTTCCAGCAAGTTCCCTGGATGGAGAAGCTGCTCGCGGTCCGATTTGACGACGGGCGATGGGGACTCCAGGGCATCAAATCTTCTGGAGCTCAGACGCCCCGCTTTGGGGGCCTTTTTCCCGGCCCCCACTGGACGTCGGCGCGTTCTGCGCCCTCACCCTCGACCCCACGCTCCATTGAGCACCTCGTGACTTCTCCTTTTGCTCATCATATTCGTATTGCATGATAAGTTCATCAAGCTCTGGTGCGCTATCGTGGCCCATTCTCGGTGGCGCGAGGTTTTGTCGATAGAATCCTTTCGACAATGGCGGAGGGTTGAGGTCATCTGTTTCACTATTGGTTTTCTTTGTCTTTGGGAATGGGGCCACACAACTCGGTTCCCTTGCGTGTCGTGCCGGACGCGCGGCGTCAGGTGAGTGCCCCAACTGGCTGAGCCGAGGAGCCCCCTCTTCCACGGCCTAGCCCCCCGATTTCGGGGACCGTTTCATCCTCGAGATCGTCGTCCGAATCAAGGACAGCCCTTCGAAGGGCTTCGGCTGGTTCGTGATCAATCGTTTCGGTATCTGACAGGCCCACGCCTGAGGCGAGCCCACCAGGCGAGTTCTGTAGAGGATTCGGGCGATACCATGGCGCCGGAGACGCATGAAAGCGAGCGTATTCCTGTTTCTTTTCCATCGGATGAAGGCTCTCTTCCTCCGACTGTCCAGCGTTTTCTTCTTCACCCCGCCCATCCATCACAAATTGTTTGATTTGTTCGTTGATGAAGCGATCTCCACCCGCTGAGCTGGTGGGATCGTTTCTCGGCGGGCTCTCCTTATCGTAGTTCGTATGAACTAATATCCTCAGGTTTGTGAATGCACTGATATGATCTCTGATGGCCTTCCGTCGGTAACATTGTCTGAGCCATGCCCTCGCCCTAGCGTTTGAAATCTTCCTTTCATATGATGACCTATGGGGGAATCCCCCTCTGTCAAATCAAACACGCGTTCCGATGCTTTTCTTCCAGGAAGATTGAGAGAAAGAGGCCGCCCCCTTGGGGCGCCTTCCTTAGCACTACGCTCGGGATGATTTCGTTGTTCTATTTATCCGAGCGCTCATTCCTTTGATCCCATGTCCAGCGAAGCCAACGGCTGAGCCGTCGTTTCGGCGAATAACCAGTCTGTTGCATGGATATTAACTACACCTGCATTATGTTCCGATGTATCCTCGGTTGCCCCTGAAGGTAACCTCCGCCAGGAAAGCTCAGGGGGCTCCGATGAAGCCATGGCAAGGAATGAATGTTCCGTTAAGCGGATGGAAGAGATATGTGTGGTAGGAAGGAGGCCGGCCGGCCGACGACACGACGACGATGGGGGAACGACCCCACGCGCGCGCAAGCCAGCTCGCTCCTTTTTCCTATAACTCTCGAATCTGAATGGCTGCTGACGGACAGACAATACAACAGCAACGATAACAAGGGCAACAGGATGGTGGTACGGAGAGGAGCGTATTAACTGGATAAAGGAGGAGGGGGAAAGGAGGGAGGGTCCGAATCGTCTGACCCTCCCCCCTCCCGCCCACCCACCCATGAGGCCCTGCTCGGCCGCGCCCGCAGCCGCGAGAAGAGCTGGAAATTGGGAGGCGAGGCGGACCGGTGGGCGGAGCTGGCCACGGAACTGACATGTCCCACAGCCGAACTGAAGTGCCATCCCTGTTGCGCGGGAGTGGAAATCGACGCATCGACCCAATGAAGGTTCCTTGAATGTTCATCCCGACGCTCGCTAGCGGAAGTCGACGGAAATCAAACAAGGCGGAAGACAGCGGAAGGCCTGCGGAAGACAGCGGAAGTAAATGACGCCCCTTTCGAGCCCCCTTGCCCCGTAGACGCCTAGCAATGTGGTCAATTTCTGTGGGCCGGGCGGGAACTGGCCTAGCTTATTCCCTTCTGGTATTAAGTTCGGCCAAGTCAGAATCCCACCCATTCAAAATAAGGCAGACCAAAATCCCGGGTCGTTCACGGATCCCGCCATGCTGGGATCGGCTCCAAGTAAGTTGGGGCTCAGAAGTTTGTACCAATCCTGAAGTGTTGGGGTCGAATTGAAATCATCTTGAGATCAGATCCTGGCCATGTTTGGGTCACGCAGCCTTGGGCGCTCCTGGTTCCGCCTTGTTGCCATCGGGCCATCTCGGCGTCACTCGCTGCTCATGTGATTGGTCATCTTAGTGCCGACCTGAGACGGTCCAGAATCAATGGCGGGATCGTGTTGGAGTGGCGTCATCCCAGGGCCGTCTGGACGTTCTCGTGTGTGGCCCTGGGCCCTCCTGGAAATATGTTGTGGCCGTGGGGACGTTTTGGGATCGCGTGCGTGCGCGCGCTGAACACGCGTGCGCGACATGTCAGATTACCGATAGGTGTACATACGTATACCTCATCTTGCGAGGTTCCAAGGAATCATTTGTTGGACCCAGATATGCAAGTAAACAAACACACCCTGAAACCACCCAGAAAGGCTCCCGTAAAGTAGCACCACCTCTTGAGCAAAAAGAGGGTTGCAGAGATGAAGCCATTAGTGAACGCTTGGGTAGGAGGCGACACCCCGAGAACAAAAAACGTTTACAAGCCATTGCTGTACACGCACACCCATACGCTAAAAAACCATTGGCACTGAGTGGGGTGTCCTCGGTTCCCTTCGAGTTCGGTGTACTGGAAAATGCACATATCTCTAACATGGGGCCCAGACCAACCACCGCCAGATGTCTCCGAACTTCTCGCATCATTTCTGGAGCGCCCGGCATGCCCTCTTGTGCCACATTGGCTTCCGAGGCCACCAAGAAGCCATGAGAGGCGCCCAAGACGCCTCACAAGGCCTCCCAGAGGCTCCCAAGAGGCCCCCAAGAGACTCCCAAGAGGCCCCTCAAGAGGCCTCCAAGAAGCCTCCGAGATCCCGAGAGACCGCAACAGGCATCCAGGAGGCTCCTGCCCCACAGCCCAGGCACGCTGGCGGGATGGGCCGAGGCCACTGCACAGATACGCATGAGCACACAGCTGTCTGCAAAGATGCACTGCATTTCGTTAGGTTGCCTCAGACTTGCTTGTAGCTCTCCTCGGCGCCTCCCCGTCGACTCCCTCTTCGTCGTGTTCGCTGATGAGTCGTTGCTGTGCCGCTCTGGCGTCCATGTCTCTCGTGTGTACCGCCTGTACTCTGAACCCTCCAGCCGCCTGAGGCCCTGCCCGCCTGCGCCCTGTCTCCCCAATTAGGGCTACCCGCGTCCCGTTTAGCTCTTGACCGGAAGGGGCCCGCTCCCGACCCGCAGACCAAAAAAGTGTGAGGATGGATGGAGGAGGCAGGAGGGAGGGAAGGGAGGGAGGGAGGAGGGAGGGAAAACCCGAATCTGAAGGCGCTGTTTTGCTCGGCTGCGGCTTCCAATCGCACACGCCCGACAGGCACTGCTCCCGCGACCCGCGCCGTGTGGGGCGAGGACGGAGAGAGCAGCACGGCTCGCCTGCCCCTAGGGGAGAGCAGTCGCCCGCGGTGGCGCCCCTCTCTCAACGGAGTGAAACGAGAGCGAAGGAGAGGGAACGCAAACTGGGAAGCACCGCCCACTGCTCTGTGGGAAAAAACACAAAGCACACAAAAAAACAACACACTGTGGGAAAAAAACACAACTGTGGGAAAAACACACACACCCAAAAAAAAGTGGGGAAAAAAAACACAGCACACACACACACACACCAGAAAACACACACACACACACAAAAAAAAAAACACACACACACACACACACACACACAAAAAAAAAAAAGCATGTGTGTGTGTTTTCCCCACAGTGTGTTTTTTCCCCACAGGCCACACCTCCCTCACCCTACCCGCCCGCCGTCTCTTCTCCTCCACCGCCTCCTGCCAGGAGGCGCCTATCTCTAATTCGAGGTCTGGCCGACTGGCCGTCCGGCCGTCCGGCTGAGCCGAAAAGATTGGGGCTCAGCAGGCCTCGACGCTAAGCGAAGGGCCAGAGCAAGTCCAGAACAGGGGAGCGACGAAGGGGGGAGGAAGCGGATGGGTAGGAGCAGGTGGCGCAACAGGCGCAGCAGAGTCATGGGAGGGAGCCGGCAGGGCGGAATCACGCGCCCGTCTTGTCGCTCAGGCGACCAAGTTTGGAGACGAAGCTGCTGCTGGTGACCCGCTCCGACGCGGCCTGCTCGCAGAGGCCCGGCGCGAGGCCGCCGCAATCCGGGTCGGCAGCGGAACAGCCAGCGATCCACTCCTCGTCCTGCAGCCGGATCGGGACCCTGCTGCCCAAGGCCTGCAAAGGCCCAAGCTGCCGCACGCGCCACGCCTGCGCCGCGAAGCGCACGTTCCATCCGATCCACAGTAGGCAGAGTGCCCACCAGAACCACTTCTCCATGATGGAGACGAACTGCACTAAATCGCCGTCGAGCCCCGCAAGTGGGGTCTCCGAGCAGATGGCCCACGTGGGGGCGATGACGGCCAAGGAGGCCAGCATCGCCTCGAACACGATCAGCAAGAACAGGTGCGTGCACGCCTGCGCGTAGCGGTCGAACTGCGTGGACGAGCCACCGCGCGGCAGCTTGCCTTGCGCGGACATCTTGAAGATGACGATCAAGGGAAAGATGCCCAAGAAGACCTCGGCGCGCTCCCAGAACAGCGTGACTGGGAGAGAACACGCTGGCCCTCTTGCGGGACCACCAGGCTGAGCGGCTGAGGCTTGCCAAAAGAGAACAGGTGTCAGTACTCTGACCTCAGACCTGCAGAACATGACGAAAGGCTCCTGATGGACGTAGCCTTACCCCTTCAAACATAATTTGGTCATTCATTGCTTTCTTGGCTGAGTGCCCTGAGAGCGCGCAACCCCCCCAACGCCCAATGGGACACTGCCGACTCGTTGCCACTATACGGTTCTAGCGGGGACCACGAAAAGGCGGAGCGATTGCCGAAATGAGGCGGCACCGCCATACGGACGACCTCGCTGGGGCCATAGGCTGAGCTCCCTATGGAGCTCCCTATGGGGCCACGAAACGTATGAGTGATATACCGACATGGGGCTGCGCCGCCATACGGACGACCTCGCTGGGACCGTGGGTGGAGCTCCCGATGGGGCCGCAAAAGGCGTCAGAAGTGTGCGAATATGAAGCGGCGCCGCCATACGTCGCCTTCACGGGTGCCGTAGGTGGAGCTCTCTATGCGGTCACGAAGCGATTGAGGGGTGTGCCGAAATTGGTCGGTGCTGCCATGTGAACGCCCCCGCTGGGGCCTTCGGTGGAGCCCCCTTATGGGGTCACGAAACAAATGAGGGTATGCTGACATGAGGCCGTGCCACCATACGACCGCCCTCGCTGGGGCCGTAGGTGGAACCCCTTTATGGGGTCACGGAACATGTGAGTGGTCTGCCGACATGAGGCAGCGCCGTCATACAGAAGACCTCGATGGTGCCGTAGGTGGAGCCCCCTTATGGGGTCACAAAACGTGTGGGTGGTGTGCCGAAATGGGGCGGTGCTGCCATACGAACGCCCTCGCTAGGACCGTGGGTGGAACTGTGGAGTTCTCTATGCGGTCACGAAGCGTTTGAAGGGTGTGCCGACATGAGGCGGTGCTGCCATATGAACGCCCCGCTGGTGCTGTAGGTGGAACTCCATATGGGGCCACGAAACGAGTGAGGTTATGCCGATATGACGTGGTGCCGCCACACGAGCGCCCTCGCTGGGGCCGTAGGTGGCGCTCCCCATGGGGTCACGAAACGTGTGGGGGGAGGGCGCAATGAAGCGGCGCCGCCGCACGAACACCCTCGCTGGGGCCGTAGGCGGAGCTCACATTTGGGTCACGACGTAATGGGCGTGCCGGAATCTGCACTCGGAAGGCAGGGTTAAGGAGAGGAGGGGTGAAGGTGGGAAGGTGCGGCGCGGCGCTGCTGGTTCAGAACGCAGACCTGACACCAATAATTACATATATGCATATGGTAAATAAATGAATAAATACATGAATTCATAACCTCTATATGGGAATATACATACACACCTACATACATACATACATACATACATACATACATACATACATACATACATACATAAATACATACATACATACATACATACATACATACATACATACATTTATACATACATACATACATACATACATGAATGCATGCATGCATGCATGCATGCATACAGTCATTCATACATACATACATACATACATGCATACCTACATACATGCATGCATGCATGCATACATACATAAATACAAACATACAAACATATATATATATATACATACATACATACATCCATGCATGCATACATGCATGCATACATACATACATAACGACATGCATACCTACATACACATGCATACAGACGGGCAGACATACATACATACAAGCATGCATACATACACACACATGCATACATACATACATACATACATACATGCATGCATGCATACATACATAAATACATATAAACATACATACATGCATACATGCATACATGCATACATGCATACATGCATACATACATACATACATACATACACACACATACATATACATATACATATACATGTACATACATATGTGCATACCTACATATATACATACATACGTGCATATATACATACATACATGCGTGCATACACACATACATACATACATGCATGCATGCATACATACATATATACATACATACATACATACCTACATACATACATACATACATACATTCATACATACATGCATACATACATACATACATACGTACATACATACATACATACATACGTACATATACCTATATATATGTATACACATGCATGCATACAGACACACGTATATACATACATGTGTGCATGCATGCATGCATACATACATACATACATGTATACATATATACATGCATACAACATGTATACATATATACATGCATACATACATACATACATGTATGCATGCATGCATGCATGCATGCATGCATGCACACCTACCAACCGACCGGCCGACCGACCTATCTACCGACCTACCTACATACATGCATGCATACATACATACATATTTACTTACTTACATACAAGTGAACCAATGAAAAAGCAACGCTCCCGACGCCGCGATCCGACGTAAAATAACGCGGGTCGGCGCTCACATCACAGCCACACTGCCTCAGACTCACAAGGCATCCGCGCCGTCGAGGCCACCACCACCTCTCGTAAAAGCCGCCACCGCAGCGAGGCACTGCGTGGGGTGCCGTCGCCAGGTTCCTTCGAGTTCTCTGCACTGGGGATTTGGGAGTTCTCCTTCAGGGCCCTCCTCCTCCTCCTCCTCCTCCACCTCCTCCTCCTCCTCCTCGACCCTCCTCCTCGACCCCTCCTCCTCCTCCTCCTCCCTCTCCTCCTCCTCCTCTCCCTCCTCCTCCTCCTCCTCCTCCTCCTCCTCCTCTCCTCCTCCTCTCTCCTCCTCCTCCTCCTCCTCATCATCATCCATCATCATCATCATCATCATCATCATCATCATCATCATCATCATCATCATCATCATCATCATCATCCCCCCGCCTCCTCTCCCCTCTCCTCGTCATCATCATCATCATCATCAGCATCATCATCATCAGCATCATCATCGTCATAATCATCATCGTAATCAGCATCATCATCGTCATCATCATCATCATCATCATCATCATCATCATCATCATCATCATCATCATCATCATCATCATCATCATCATCATCATCATCATCTCCTCCTCCTCCCTCCTCCTCCTCCTCCTCCTCCTCCTCCTCTCCTCCTCCTCCTCCCTCCTCCTCATCCTCCTCCTCCACCGCCTCCTCCTCCTCCTCCTCCTCCTCCTGCCTCGGCCCAGATGGCCGATTCCTCCGCTTGGGTCATGACTTTTCAGGTACCTCGAGAGCTTGGTCAGGAACCGATGCTCCCAATACAGCCCTAAGCTAGCCCCACGGTGCAGACCCCGAGCCCTTTTGGAGGCCTCACGGGCCGTCGTAGAGGTCCTGAGGGCCGGCCCAGAAATCAAAACCGCAGTAATGGCACACATGACACATGTTTGATTCCCAACCATCCTGAGTTGGGTTCTCGTCTTGACTAGAGCACTGTGGCCGCGTCTTCTCCTTCGTTCTCCTCCCCATCCCCCTCCTCTCTCCTCCCTCCTATCATCTCTCCCCTGCCTGTCCCTCTCGTGGGCTGCTGAGAGGTCGCGCGGAGGAGTGGAGTTACACGGGGATCCAGTTGAGACCTCGCGGCTCCCTGGGGGGCTGCGAAGTGTGGAAACTGTCGCCACTTTCGTGGGCTACTGGGAGGTCGCGCGAAGTGAAGTTACACGGGGATCCAGTTGAGACCTCGCGGCTCCCTGGGTGGCTGCGAAGTGTGGAACCGTCGCCACGCTCATGGGCTCCTGGAAGGTCGCGCGGAGTGGAGTTACACGGGGATCCAGTTGAGACCTCGCGGCTCCCTGGGGGGCTGCGAGTTTGGAACCATCGCTACTTCCGAGAGCTCCTGGGAGGTCGCGCAGAGTGGAGTTACACGGGATCCAGTTGAGACCTCGCGGCCCCCTGAGGAGCTGCGAAGAGTAAAACCGTCGCCACTTTTGTGGGCTGCTGAGAGGTCGCGCGGAGTGGAGTTACACGGGGATCCAGATGAGATCTCGCGGCTCCCTGGAGGGCTACGAAGTGTGAAACTGTCGCCACCCTGGTAGGCTCCTGGGAGGTCTCGCGGAGTGGAGTTACACGGGGAAGGTCGCGCGGAGTGGAGTTACACGCGGATCCAGTTGAGACCTCGCGGCTCCTTGGGGGGGCTGCGAAGTGTGGAACCGTCGCCACTCTCGTGGGCTCCTGGGAGGTCGCGCGGAGTGGAGTTACACGGGGATCCAGATGAGATCTCGCGGCTCCCTGGGGGGCTGCGAAGTGTGAAACTGTCGCCACCCTCGTGGGCTACTGGGAGGTCTCGCGGAGTGGAGTTACACGGGGAAGGTCGCGCGGAGTGGAGTTACACGGGGATCCAGTTGAGACAGTGCGGCTCCTTGGGGGGGCTGCGAAGTGTGGAACCGTCGCCACTCTCGTGGGCTCCTGGGAGGTCGCGCGGAGTGGAGTTACACGGGGATCCAGTTCACACCTCGCGGTGCCCTGGGGGGCTGCGAGTTTGGAACCATCGCCACTCTCGTGGTCTCCTGGAAGGTCGCGCGGAGTGGAGTTACACGGGGATCCAGGTGAGACCTCGTGGCTCCCTGGGGGAGCTGCGAACTGTGGAACCGTCGCCACTCTCGTGGGCTCCTGGGAGGTCGCGCGGGGTGGAGTTACACGGGGATCCAGGTGAGACCTCGCGGCTCCTGGGGGGGGCTGCGAAGTGTGGAACCGTCGCCACTCTCGTGTGAGGTCGCGCGGAGTGAAGTTACACAGGGATCCAATTGAGACCTCGCGGCTCCCTGCGGGGGGGCTGCGAATTGTGGAACCGTCGCCACTCTCGTGGGCTCCTGGGAGGTCGCGCGGAGTGGAGTTACACGGGGGTCCAGTTGAGACCTCGCGGCTCCCTGGAGGGCTGCGAAATATAAAACCGTCGCCGTTTTCGCTGGCTCCTGGGAGGTCGCGCGGAGTGGAGTTACACGGGGATCAATTTGAGACAGCGCGGCTCCCTGGGGGGGCTGCGAAGTGTGGAACCGTCGCCA